AGGTCAACCTAGGTCATCTAAGATAATTGCGTTTTAAGCAAGTAGAACTTACTTTTTGTGAAGTTTTTTTTTACTGCATTTTTGGTAAAAGCTTCTCAGATCATGATTTCATGTAATATGGACACATAAACAATCGGTGCACACATCAGTATACACACAGACACACACAGACATACAAACACATATAATTGACCTTGACCTAACTTGACCTGAAATGACCTCAGCAGCAAAAACCTGGTCGGGTAGTGTGACAAAGAGGTTCTAGCTGGCTTGGCACCAGAAAACGGCATCGTCATCGGTATATGATAAGCAGCGCACTAGATATCCAACGGTGACCCAAAACAGCAACATTTTTTTAGTTTGACCTGACCTGGAAGGTCACTGACTGACCTGACAAGGTAAAACTGGATATCATTGGATTCGTCTCTTCCCAAAGAATCTTTTTGGTCCTTACCGCTAAGCTCTATCTCCAACAGGAACGAAATGGCGCGGGAGGGTGGCAACCCCTCCATGTGTGTTCTAGGATGGGAAAATGGCATGTGCGGGCGAGGGTTAGGCATTTAGACCAGGTCGGGTCAGGTCAGGTCAACCAGTAGGGGTCGTGACGGGCATTCATAGTACGTGTCAACCGCATCTGACAGCTCCGTAACATGTTACGAAGGCACCAAAACTACATACTTTACAGAAGTTAAAATGGTTGCTAAATTCGAATTCAGCCCCAAAAACTAGCCTAGAAACATGCAAAATTCGGAAAAGGGAGCCGAGGTCAGCAAAGGTCAATGACCTGACCTGACCTTCAGGTGACCTTGAAATCCACCTAAAAGCATGGGAGCAACATCAAATCACATGTTTGAACGCTTGAAACCACGAAAAGACTGCAAACGCGCGGCTAATGCGAGCCGACATACACCGAATGGCGATTCCGGCCAAATGTGGTCTCGAAAAGTAGGGCACAGGTCAAAGATCATTTGGGTCAGAGTCATTAAAATTTTCAGAGTAGGTGTTAAAATGATCAAAGCGAGGGTACTGAAAATTTGGTCGCAATCGGCCGTTTTTTAGGCGAGTTATTTGCGAAAAACCTCAGGGGTGCTGTATCAACCCTCCGCCGTGCCGGTGAGGGTTAACCTTCGCCCGCATATGCCATTTTTCCATCCTAAGACGCACATGGAAGGGGGGGTTGCCACCTCCCCCCGCGCCATTTCGTTCCTGCTTGAGATAGAGTTTTGCAGCAAAGACCAACCGATTCTTTTGGAAGAGACGAATCCAATGGTACCCAATTTTACCTTATTAGGTCAATCATTGAACTTCCAGGTCAGGTCAAACTAAAAATGTTTCTGTTTGAGGCCACCGTTGGAATATCCCGCGACCGCCTGGGGGGGGGGGGGGGGGTCCGTGCTACGTTGCACTACTTGTTGCTATATCATCCAAAGTTATTGTTGGCCCACTCTAATTTTCTCAGCACGTGTGCCTTACGGGCGTTCAAAAAGTTCTCGGCCCAACCATGAAGGAGTTGGAATTTCGGCCTGCAACGCGGTGTGTTCAATGATGTGTTATTGGGATGTCCACTTACGTAGCCATTAACCAATCTGCCCTGTGATTGGTTCAGGCTGCTAATTAATCGTAGCATAGTTTGCTATTCCCGGTCAGAATGGGCGACGCCCAGAAGAGAACAGTGATTTGGTTCATGTATTGCAGAAAAATGCACCAAACGTTATTCACGAAAAGCTAGTGCCAACACATGTTGAGGTTTGTCTTTCTTACAGTAGCGTCAAAAAGTGGGCATCTCTGTTCAATTTTGGTCAACAGATCATTAATGGTCACCCCCGCAGTGGCCAGCCATCAACAGCATTGACTCAAGAAAATATGAAAAATAAGCACTTCTTTGTGAAAAATGACAAATGTTATGGTCTGAAACAACGCAGCAGAAGCGGAGCTGTCTATCAGGTTCTTGAAAGCCATTCTTCGACAGCGTATTAATATGTTAAAGATCTCTGCAAGATGAATCCCCCGTTTGCTGACTCAAGAGGGAAGGCAAACTCGAAAGGAGGCTTAACGCGAAAATTTTGGCCCCTATATCGAAGATCCAAAAGAGTTCATTGAACTACTTGTTACCGTGGAGGGATTGTGGGTGTCACACATTGACCCTCAGGGCGTGACCGAGTTGCACAAGTGGAAGCACACTGAGTAAAGGCCACCAAATGTGTGCGATGTGTTTAAGTCAGACGGCAAGGTGACAGTGGTTGCATTTTTGGATGATGGCGGGCATGCTCGACAACTTTCTAAAACAGGGGCGCACAATTAATGATGAATGCTACACCTCCCTTCGATAACAGTAGCGAGCAGCAGATATCAAGGAGAGACTAGGGAAGCTGACTAAAAGTGTGCGATTGATCCAGGGCCACGCACCAGCACACATGAGCAGGGTGACGATCAGCGAAGCAGTGAGCTGTGGCTTCGAGTTGTTGTCACAGCCACTTTTTTCTCCGTACCTTGCACCCTCAGGTTGCCACCTCTTCCCCAACATAAGGAAATTGCTTAGCAGCGGCAATTTCGCTGACAGCAAGGAGACAAAAGCAGCCGTCTTGGACGTGCCAGATGCGTCCAAAACCCATTTGGCTATGGAGACCCAGGGGCCTCTCGCGAAGCGCTGCGCGAAATATTTTTGTCTTAACGCTGGTTATTTGACCAAATGAACATTTTTGGTCTAATAAGTCGACATCGTATCTCTGCTCCTTCATGGTCGGGCCGAGAACTTTTTGAACGCCCCCTCGTACGTGTAGTGGAAGACAATATCTAAATTTGAGCAAAATCGAAGGGTACCCATTTTTCACAAATTATATTTTAAGAAATTAATTCAAAATAAAATAAATTCAGAGTTTTCAAAATATATTAAAACTGCCAAATTTTGCTAGTATAACTCCTTATGTATATGTTCCAGTTTGTTTGAAATCAATAGCTTCAAAAATGTTGAAGCTATAGATCTTTCAAGATTGCAGTACACGTCCAATTCTGCTAAAAAAGCAGAAGTTTAGCGGCTCGTATTTCTGTAGCCCGAGGGCATATGACAAAATCCTTTCACCCTCAGAGGTTTCACCCAATAGGCAATAAGTATACCAAGTTTGAACAAAATCGCAGAGGTGACCGATTTTGGCTGTCCCGGTTGACATGGAATGCCCCCACTAGATTCCTGGGACAAAGCCCGTCTAGAAAAGTGCATTTTTATGTCAAAAATAAAAAGTTAAAAAATTGACTTTTTTCTTAGCCCTCGTTTAGTTATGTATGGTATAAACGATTTTTATGCTTTCAATGCAAACTTATCACCAGCACAGTGACTTGGGGTCACATATAACCATTACCATCGGATTCGGCGTGAACAATAAGCCATAAAACAAGTGACGCACGCCCATGTAGCAGAAAGTGAAAGCCGTGACCTTTCGTGACCTGACCTGACCTTGACCCGTACTAAGTATGACCCTTATACGTACATGGTACCTTCACTAGGTCTTTGAGATCATTTTTGGTGAGTTTCGAGCAGCAGCTATCGATTCCGCTGTCCGTAAGCCTAATCATGCAAAACCCCAGAATTTGACCTTTGACCTGATCTTGACCCGAAAGTTGACCTCAATCTTAAAATCTTAAGAGTGCTTTGGGAAGGTCTCGTAGAGACCTTTCGAACACCGCCTCGCGGGGCTCGATACTACGACCAATGGTTCTCGAGATAACAGGGGGGGGGGGGCGGATCCGACCTCACCCCCGCTGTCGTGGGTACGGAAATAGCACAGGCGGTGCCGTGATATCACGTGCGGTGCCCATCATATACCGATGGCGCTGCCGTTTGTGGTGACAAGCCAGCTAGAAGTTAGAAGAGCTCTTTGTCACACTATCCCACTAGGTTTTTACTGGCTGTGGTCATTTAAGGTCAAGCTAGGTCAAGGTCAATGATATGTGTTTGTATGTCTGTGTGTGTCTGTGTGTATACTGATGTGTGCACCGATTGGTTTGTGTGTCCCGATTAGATGAGATCATGATCTGAGAAGTTTTCATCAAAAATGCAGTAAAAAAACTTCACGAAAAGTAAATTCAGCAAGCCTAAAATGCAATGTTTTTAGATGACTTAGCCTGGCGATGACTTAGCTTGGCCTTGACCGTGACCCTGGCATCTGCACATCGTAGAATAGCATGTTCCATGATAGGTGGGAGGTGAGACTAGCAAAAACATACTGAAATCAAGGTGTCAAAAGCTCACAAGACCCATAGCCAACGCAAGCTGTTGAGTATTGGTCATTTGGGTCCTGACATGACTTGAAAACAAGGTCATATCTCCAAAACCAGAAATCACAGAAACTTGAACTTTTCGGTGGACGCTGAGAAAGGATAGAGAAGCAGCTGTACGAAAAATCAGGTTTCTAGCTTTAAAAATGTTGAGTGCAGAGAAGAAAAACTACATGGGTGGGTGGCAACCCCCCCCCCCCCCTCCAAGTGCGGGCGAGGGTTAAAGCGACCTGTTTGTGTCAACTCATAGGACATTCGAGGTGTCTCAGCGGGAGAAACACGATACCGGTAGGCGGTAAAATCACATAGTATGTACAAGCTTGTCAAAACATATTGCAGCAAAAAAAAAAACTTATGCTATAGAAACGTTGAATTTTTACAGTTGTTCTTCACTGGTGCTAGGCCGCTGACCCTTTCTCAAATCTGAGAACTTCATTCAAAGAGCCTTGGGAGAGGTATCGAATGCCTTTTTCCCCGGCGCTATGCTCTTTTGGTTCCCGAGTTATGCACAGATTTCAGATTTGTGCGAAATTGTCATAATCTGGAACATTTTCGTGATAATTTTCCTTTTTGTAACACCCAGCGACCTCGGCGATAACGTGATAAAGGCGACATTATAATCCTGGGAGATCTCATAGCAATCTGAAGTGGTGTTGATTATAGACATAGTTAAAGCATAGACGGTGGTGCAGCACGGCCAAAATACGATGCGCAAGAAAAAAAGATTATCATGTCTGAAATGTATTAGAATAAATTCTTTCGCTCCACAAGGCATCATTCATCACGCCACCCACCTCAATCATATATGAACACCACGACTGAGTCCGACACATTCCCAATACCGGTACCTAAAATCCATGAAAATCGAAATCGAAGCGGTAAGATATATGGCACGCGAACTGCTAAATATGGCCGACAACATTGTGATGTACCGTCCGGCAACTTTTGGGCGAGCGAGAATAAAACAGCCCCGCACGAGTAGGCACGTGCCTGCTGTTCAGCCACCCCGAGCGAGCCCATGAGCGCAACACACGGCTGCCCATATAAAGAACATACTCGGTTACAAACTCGCGAATGCGCACACAAATAAAACACCATAAAAAGCATATGGCTCCCATGTTGATATCCGTTCTGAGCCAATTGTGGCTACCAGCTGCTATAACCAGCACTTGCCCATATGTAGATGGCCTGCCTCTCTTACTCAGATTCAATAATCGGTCGTTGCCCGCAACGAAGCGAATCTATAGAGAATCAAGCTGGTGTCACGCCGGCAGCAAATTGGTCGGATTCGATGAAATCGAATCGAACCGACTCGACTTGACTCGACTCGAATCAACTTGACTCGGGCCGGCACCAAACCGGAGTAGAGCTAACGATGAAATTGGGACCACGAAAAATACGGCATTGAACTAACCCGAACTCCTATCATGCTAACTATGTAGAATGAGAATAACCTAGCTGTTATGAAGCAGTGGCATGAAAAAGATAAATTCGGCATAAAATGGTACCAAAACAGCGCAAATTGGACACCGAAACGACGCTGCATCTTTCATAGGCCAGTCTCACTCAAACACAAGAAACACCACCCTGCTCACGCCGATTTTACCCGCGGCGACACGAGAGGCAATATCGTTCGACGACATGGCGGCGCCGGACCCTCGAGTACAGCCGGCCTAGCGTCGGGCACGAGCACACTGGAAACACGTGGCAAACGTGGCAAACGTGGCGCACGAGGCGTTCGTGCGGCACATGCTGTGCCGCCGCGCCGCCGCCGGTGCGGGTGGCCTGGCTGCGGGCGCGGGCGGCGCGGTCCGAGGCAGCGACGGGCGGCGCTCCGCCGAGGGGGAGGAGGTCGGTTAGCAGCTGCACCAGTTCCGGTCCGGCTGGCCGTCACCGACCACCAGCGTGTCCAGGTCCTCATCCTCCGACGTCATGATGCCGCTCTTCTCGTTGGTAAGGATCTGGAACGGCAGCGAGACGTGATCACGGGTCCTTTCCGTGTACAGAACGGCACGGCGACCAGACGCGAAGAAACGCTATAAAAGAACTCTCAATGACTGTATAAATATGCACACAAAGAAAGGTCTGGCAAAACGGACAGTTGCTACTATAATAGGCCATGTCATACGATTGTCTTATCACCCAACCGACAAATAACAGCTTTGTTTATACTTTGGACGTCATTAAAGTAAGACTTAAAACCTTGTTTATCTTTGAACGTCATTTCGATATCGGCAAAGAAAGAGATAAGGTATATCTGATTTGTCGTCGAATAAGACGTGATTCTTCCTCTCCAGATACCAGGGCCTCCTCTAAGGATTTTTCACTGGGTGGGCAGAATTTTCGCTACTCCCCTGCCCAAGGGCGAATCCAGCCACTGTTTTGGGGTTCAACCAATTTCAAAACCTGTTACCGGGGGGGGGGGGGTGAGGCGAAATAAGCAGTGCCGTTATTGGAAATAAGATGATAGTTTGCAAAGTTAACGTTTGTCGTATGTTTTATGGTTAGCGATGCTCGAGCGATTCGTTCCAGAGTTACATGTACAGCCCTCCGCAAACTGCGTGGTAGGTATTCTTATTCGGTATTCTTGCTATTTTGACAATGTACCAGTTTTTGTGACCTTGTGACCTGGCCTCGGATCACTGGAACCTAAAGCTCCAAGGCCAAGTGACAAACAGATGCTCCGTTTCGTGTCTTAAATTTGGTAGCGCTACGTGCTATAGAACTCACACTATCAACGAAAAACTCTGGCATTCGGTTGCCGCTAAACTAGTCCAATTTTTCCCTGACCTTGTACGGGGTTTGTGACCGGTGACCTGACCTGAAAAGACTAGAGATCTGAAATTTTCAGGACAAGTGCCAAAAGGTTGCCCCAGAGGGTATGCCAAATTTGAGCGCCGCCTTTTTTACGTTATTTGTGAAAAACCTTAGGGGGGTGCATCAACCCCCTCACCGGGCGAGGGCTAACTAGTTGTAGTAAAGGCTACCCGAACCGGTAATGATTCTTGCTTATTTGTTTAGCTCAGCCGTATTTAGAGATTTAGCTGGCTTTGTCCATGAATAACAATATCGGCAGGGGCGTAGCCAAGGGGGAGGGGCCACGGGGGCAATGGCCCCCTCCCTTGAGCGCAAAACGCGCCATGGGGGAGCCCCTCAGGCCCCGGGATATTTATTTTTTCAAACACTGGATAAAACGTCTTTTACTCGAAAGAAAATTGACATCGAAGTTTCATTTTCGTGGCCCTCTGATGACCCAATGGGCCCCTGCACTCATCCGATGACCCCCGGTTTCCTGGGGCCCCTGGTCGCCTAGAGGGCCCCGGTCGCTTGGGGGCTAGTCGCCTGGGGGCCTGGTCGCCTGGCCCCTGCCCCCTGGTCGCCTGGAAGAACGCTTGTCACCTGCAGTGTATTTGTATTTGTATTTGCCATCGTAGAGCGGTCCACTCAAAGTGTGGCTATTAAGCTCCGAGTCAAACATGGTCGCTGTCATGGATAAAAAAAAACACACACACACACACACGCACACATACACGGTACACAGGGCTACCCCTGTGCTGTGGCGGCCACGGCTGTCGGAACGGTCACGTTCGGTGGAGATCCAGCAGGCGTCTCTTCACGGTACGTGAAAAACGCTGCTGGCTAAGCGGTGTCAGGTCACTCGACAGCCGGTTGTAGAGGGCAGGTGCCCTCGAGCAAAAGCGTCTCTTGCCGGTCTCGGTGTTGGACCTCGGCACGTAGAGCTGCCCGTCCTGCCTCGTGCGCCGGGACCGCCGGTCACCGTTGCACACGAATGCAGCCGCCAGTGACTCGGGCTCGCCACCAGCAATCACCTTGTGCGCCAGACACAGTGTACGGTGGTCGGCCATGTGCTGAGCGGGCAGCCAGCCAAGTTTCCCGCGCAGGTCACTAACATGATCAAATTTTCTCTTTCCAAAAATGACTCGTGCAGCAAAGTTCAGTACCTTTTGAATTCTGTCAATGTTTTTCTTAGTGCCGTTGCCGTAGACGGAAAGGCAGTGTGTGACCTGCGAGAGAACCAAGGCGGCTACCAGTGTCTTGATGACACCGACAGGCAGGACGTGACGGACATGTGACAGCGCGACAAGAGTACCGCTGCATCGCCTGCCGACGACACACACGTGACTGTCCCATGATAATTTCTGGTCGAAAATAACGCCAAGATTTTTTACCTCGCGGCAAGGTACGAGGTCAGTGTTGCGGAATGCAATTTTGATGTCTGGAAGGCCGCGCAAATTTTGACCTGTTCCGAGAGTGATGAGCTGTGTTTTGTTTGCGTTTACTTTAAGGGCGTTTGCGCAGAACCACTGATCCAAAGCAGTCAATGAGTTTTCCATGCTATGAATAACAGCCGAAAGTTCGTTCTTTTTGCCAGAGACCATCACCTGGGTGTCGTCAGCGTACTGCACGACACTTGCACCCGCAGCGAACAGTGACATGTCATTTGCAAACACGGTAAACAAGAGGGGGCCCAGGGCAGACCCCTGGAAAACCCCCATCGAGTTCGGCATCGGCGGGGAGACGCTGGGAGCTCCAGTGTGGTCTCTGAGTGACACACTCTGGGTATGGCCGGTCAGGTAAGCTTTAAACCACTGGTAAGATTTAAACCACAGTGGCATAGCCAAGGAGGGGGCCAAAGGGACCATGCCCCCCCCCGGAAGCCAGGGGTCCTTATTCTATAGGGGCCCCTGGCTGACACAGTGGGCCCTTGGCGACACAAAGGCCCCTGCGGCAGATCCTTTGACACAGCTGAGTAGTTATTACTTTGGTCAAGAGAGCCCCAATTTTAGAGCCTTGGTGCCCTATTGAAACCAGGGGGCCAGTTGGATGGGATGGGTCCAACTTGGGTCCAACGGTGTGTAAACAGAATCAATGCGTTCCGACTGTTGGTCTGAACCTATATCGGTTTGAGGGAGCTCGGATCTGATCCACTGTCGATCTGAGGGGCCCCTATCGGTTTGAGGAAGCCCTCAAATGCCCTGAACGGGTCCTTAGTTTGTCTGAGAGAGCCCTCCGTCGGCATGACTGGGCCTCTGCAAGTGCGAGGAGGGCTTTTGTCGGTCTTAGTGGCCCTTAGGCGGCTTATATGACCCTCAGACGGCTTACGAGGCTCTCATGCACTGTAGGGGCCTGTGACGGTCTGAAGAACCCTCATCCGACCTACGGGCTCTCAGACCGCCCTCAAAACCGACTGGCGACTCTATGAAGCTATTCGTGGGCCTATCTAACAGGGCCCATGGACTGCTTACCCCCTCAGTTCTAATATTTTTTTGTTAATAAATATTTTTCTATTTATCTGGGGCCCCTCCAAAAAACATTGGATCCAACCAGATGGCTTTTTGGATTTTGAGGGGTTATTTTGGGCCCCTGTGCGTTTAGCCCGCTCCTTGAGGAAATTCTGACTACGCCCCTGAATATCGGGCAACCAGAAAACTTTTTTTGACCTTCAAACAGCATCCAGTTTGCTTAAAGGTAGTGTGCCACCTTTGAAAGATTTCCCATTTTATTTTTCCTAGGATAAGAAGCTTCTGTTTTTACCTAATATCGCAAAAAAAATCAAAAATGGGCCTGGAATAGTGCCTTTTTCGCCTAAAAGTTTTTCGGTTTTTAGATATGTATAACAACTGTAGTGGGCTCACCTGCAAACAGGCGTCGGGCAACAATCGCGAATGCGGCGCACTTGTGACAATAAGCAAAGGTCATTATAGTGTTACGACCATACGACGTACGGGAATGAGTTATCAGCTGTCTAATCGTAGACAACACAATGTCGAGCCTTAAACTGTAAGCCCGTATTGGTATTGTTTCTTTTATTTGGCTGTCGAACATTATTTATGGTTTGAAATATGATTTTATGTAAAATAATTGATATGAAAAAGCCGTCTTATAAGTTATAACCCCATTTCACCACACGCAAGTGGCAGAAATGACAATGATCAGCTGACGCATTTTTCTTGGCCGAAGTCAGAGCGCGCGGCCCGACGCACCACGCGTATTTGGAAATTCCGACCTCGACGAGCATCAGAAGCCACCTAACAGGCGTGTTCGAAACCGCAGGAGATGATGATGAACGGGTTTATCGAAACTTGATTGGATGAGCATATCGGTAATAGCGATTTCAGTGTGTGCATTTATTGTTCATAGTGGTGTGAAATGTGGTTGGGGTACGACCGACAACCCGTCGGGGCGAATTTCGCACTGGGGTACTCAAAATTTGAAGAATTTAAGACGTTTCCATGAGTTTTGAAGGTATGGATAAGTTCTAAAAATCCGGTTCTCCTTATCTGGGCCATTAACTCCATACGGTCCAGGAAAGCTGGCACACTACCTTTAAGACCAGAAAGGTAGTACCGGACGTCCGGCCGGACCAGAGTTTTTGCATTTGCTTCTGGGTGGGCAAATCGACGCCACTGGGTGGGCAATTGTGGTGACTGGGTGGGCATTTGCCCACCCAGTGGGTATGTTAGAGGAGGCCCTGCCAGATACACATCGAAACGACGATGTAAGACGCGTGTTTTACTGAACAGTGAACACACTGGCCTATTCGATACTCGTCCTATGTCGAAAGTCATTAGCACAATTTACAGTATAATGAAGCCGTACAAAGCTGGGTCACGGGTTTCGATCCAGATAACATGGAACCAGTTGGGTGAACGTTATTTCTTTTAGTATTAAACTACGCAGCGTCACTTTTGACCGATCTGTCATTAAACTATATCAAAATGTAAGAACATATAATGAAATGTTTCGTTAACTTGTGCGCACAGCGTTCAGCAATGTATCAAGTTATTATCAGTATCATTAGATCACTGACCAGTGACCAGTGACCAGTTTGTCGCACTCAGTGATGGCCGAAAATACGCTACGATAGAAATGATGGTCCTTAAATTATATTGTTTTTTTCTGACCTGAGCTGGCATTTTTGCCGAACAATATAAAAATTGTACATGTGGGTTCAATCCACTAAACCCTATTGATTGGCATTCCAGACGTGTGAACAGTGAGCAGACTTCCATCGTGACACCAGCTAATGAAAAATCGATGTCGGCAAGTCACTGGGCCAAGCCGCGGCTTTGACATTCCCCTAACTACATCCCATTTACTTGCCTTGGCGACAAGGAAGTTGGCTGCCTCTTCGATTCCCGTGTATTCTTTAGCCGACGTCTCGAACCATCCCATGAAGCCGTGCTGTTTCGCCCATTCAGTCAGTTTGTCGGGCGTGGTCACTATACCCTCCTTCGGAAGATCGCTCTGTGAAAATGAGACGAATTGTCAGCAGCGATCGTTAATAAAATGGTGACTGCTTTTGGGTTGCTTTTGGGACAGTTTGCTTTTGGGTTAAGCATGCAAGTGCATAGCGTCATCGTATATTAAAAAGACAGGGATTAGCGGACTCCCAATGTATGGTGATGGTAGAGTAGTTACATCACCCCACCACAGGCTTGGATGAAGTGCTGATGACCTCTGCGACCTATAGCTCCTGATAGGTGCTCGATTACGCTGTTGACAATAGGCGTCAAATTCACAACCTCAAAACATCTCTGACAATTCAGAAGCGAGGTCAAAAGAACTCATCTGATGACACCGGACTTGGTGGAATGACAAAAGCTCTGCCATCGTTTTCAAACACATTCTAAATAATCGAAAGTACCCTATATAGAAGGCTGGGTTGATCATAAAACAATGCCATGTCGGTGGGAGGGTTTTCGTTGTTACAAGACGCAGAAATACTTGACGTGATGGATTTTGGAGCCACGTGTATGTAAAGTTGTAATATCGCTTCCTTATAGGGCGTCATGCAATAACCCAGTGATCTCACGAGTTACAGTGATTTGACATATCTGAGTGTACATATCATATATGACATATCTGAGTGTACCTATGTGTAACCCAGCAGTGTGTGCGGCAGTGTGACCTCCAGCAGCGTCGTCCGGTGCCGACGACCGGTAGCCAGTAACCACCCTCTCAGCCGCAGAGCTTGCTCGGCAGTGCATGCCGTGCCGTGCCGGTCCACGGGGCTCCCCGGCGCCAGCGTAGAGGGTTTGGTGGGACCGGTGGCCGGCCGGGTCGGCTCGTGCCATCAGCCACTGCTCGCCGCTGGTGGCAGTTGGCACCTCTGCCGTGCCCTCGAGCAGTTGGCCGCCAGTCGTCGGGACCGGACGACGCTCCGCTGCGGCAGCATATCGGATTGCCCCGACTGCGGCTTTACTGTAGCCCTCCGGTCGCCGCTTTTTATTGCCCCGCCGACCAGACTATAGGGTCGAAATTCCGGCTGCTGTCGGTGACGGTATATTGAGTCGCAGACAAAACAACGCACGGAAGCCGCCAATTCATTCGTTGATTTATTCATTAGCTCCGTAACGGTAGCGCTTATTGAAACAAATACAATTTCGAGATCGAAGCAAAATGTGATCGATGTTCATTTTTACTAGAAGTAATTGATTGCCTTCATAACAGGGAAATCCCTGCTGATGCACCGAAAATATCAAATACCGATCATATCACTTAGATTTCTGTGCCCGGCGATGCGGGGCGAAACGTGAACGATCGTCAACAAACAATGCTAAACAAAATCAATGAAGCAGTCATATTTGGACCCAGGCGATATAAGAGAGGTAAAATGACGTTTTGATTGGTTGCATTCGTTGCTTTTGTTTGTCGTTCTTCCCTGTTCATAAATAAGGGGGTAAATCAATTCACTGCGTAACAAAACTCTTTAAAAAGCTCATGGAACATGTGGAAGACGATGTGTTTTGTGTTGCTTTTAACCCGCGAGTTGCTGGGGGGGGGGGGGGGCGTTAACCCTCGCCCCGTTGGTGGGGGGGGGGGCATTTTGGCCCCCCCTGTGGTTTTTCCTGAATAGCAAGAAAACGGCGGGGCGCAGCGCCGCCAAATTTTCAGTACCTTTCCGGGCATCAATTTGACACCTTCACACCAAATTTCAAGTCCTAGGTCACCTTAGGTCAGGAGTTATTGAGGTCAAACTGAGGTCATGTTCGAGCAAAAATGAGCAAAAAACATGCAATCTTGAAACGCTCACCAAATCTACAGTTATCAAGCAATTTCAAAGTTCTTTATATGGTCTAATAGACAAAAAGCGGCGCTACAAAACTGCTATCTCGGATTTTCAAAATTTTGGGTTTTTGACCCAAAAAATTTCAAAAAATTGATTTTTTAGAAAAACTAAAAAAAAATCCAAAATTTTTCCGAATTTCGAAAAAACCGGAATATATGTGATAGTCCCTGCGCTCTTCTATACACATACCAAATTTCAGATCGATATCTCGTTTTTTGGCCAAGTTATAGCGAAAAAACTGTTCAAAAATGATGACGTCAAATTTTTGAACTCAATTTTTAGCGATTCTAGACCTCGTACAGCAAAACAAAGACCACCATTGAACTCTCCGTGACGAGCTGCATCGATTCGATACCCATTTTATGCAAAAATATCAACTTTGAAATTTGACCTTATTTGACCTGACGTTGACCTGACCTTGACCTGACCTTGACCAAAACGTGACCTAAGCTGGCCCCAAAGGCTGCCTGACCCACATAATCGCATTTGTCATGTAAAATGGACCATAAAACATGTATCACACGACACTTTCATATTGTGACCCCCCAGTGACCTGACCTCAGTGACCTGACCTGGTATCAGTGACCTCAACTAGCAAAATATGTGTTTGAAGAACATTTCCCCATCGATGATTTTCAATGAAATGCATTTTACTCGATTTTACAACGCATTTCTTGAAATGCCTGTAAACGGTGAAAATTGGACCTTTGACCTGACCTGTGACGTCATCGGTTTGACCTAGGTCAATAAAATTGGGTCACAAGGTAGTTCCCTGATAGGGCTATCCAACACCGTTTGCCGCTTGTCGCTACGTTGCGTGGTTCTCGAGATCTTAGGGGGGCCAAAATGCCCCCCCCCCCCCAACGGGGCGCGTTGCTCGGCAGAGCCCAACGGGGCGCGGGTTAAACGCCCCCACTTTTTTCGCCGGGGCATAGCATAAAAACGGCGCGCCGCAGGCGCGCCAAATTTTGGGTACCTGTAGGAAATTGATTGAAGTTTATTGTGACAAAGTTTCAAAAAAATCGGTTGGAAAAATTTTGAGATATCGAGGTTTTAGTGACGTCATGATTTCTGAGTTTTCGACCAAAAACGGCATATGTTCAAAAAATCATATAAAATCACAGAATAGACATACAGACATGCCGTAAACGCCATTAGACTGCCAATAACATGAACAATCAAATGGCTATCTTCGATTGTTGATTATCGTTCCGCATTTTCCAAAATCTTGAACTGAATCTTGGCAATTTCTCGTGACTACTTCACGACCATGATACATGCATTTCTTAAATTGAACTTTTTTAGCCAAACACGTACACATATGGTAAAATGAATGTCACCATCGTGTTCTACGCCCCAAATTACCCATAAAACATGTGTCACAGGCTGCGAATATCAGTTTTGATTTTCGGGGATATGTGCCTGCCCGGTTGACCTGACCTTGACCCTGACCTATGCTTGACTGACCCCTACATGGAGCTGACACTCTTGTAGGCCTTATATGATGGATTGTGCACCGTTTTGACAGAGTTTATGACGAGAGGCGCCCTTTGCGAAGTCCTGAAGTCCATGCTACTGAAAGCCCGATTTCAGGTGCTTGACCTGACCTTGACCTGACCTGTGACCTCAAAATTCAACTTTAAAGTACTCATCTGAAGCGTCTCGTCGCGTTCTTTCGTTTGCCGCCTCGTGCGTTTCGCTGCGCCTATTGGTTCTCGAGTTATCGGCTGGGGGCGTTTAACGCCCCCCCCCCCCAGCAAACGGTGGGTGGCGAAATACCCCAGCAACTGCCGGGTTAAACTGCGCCGTGCTGGTGGTCTGAGTTTTCCGTGTCGTGCTGGGGGAGGGGGGCGTTTTGACGCCCACCCGTCTACCTCGGCTCCTGGGCGACGCAGCGACACGCAGTAAGCGGTATTCGAAAGAGTGTCAAAAATAATGACGGAAATACTTCGGTCATTTTTTGATCAGGTCAAAGGTCAGGTAAAGTTTGTCTATTTCTACAATTTTCGAAACACCCGACGCATAACTTGGGATCCAATAGAGCTCCAGCACCGCGGAAAGGCGCATTCGATAGCTCAATGCCACGTTATTTATCTTCTGAAATATGGATTGATCGATTTTTGATGAGCAGAAGCAGAGCCAGAGCCAAAGCCACCAGGTCAAGGTGTATTTTTCCCGGAGACGGAGCCGCAGGGGCATTTTATGGCCCTTTCACACGTAGCAACTTTTCAGTCGCCGGCGACAGCAGCAGTCGCCGGCGACCGCCAGCGACCGCCAGCCAACGATCGTGTGTGACGTAGGTATGACGTAAGCAAGTCGGTGGCGATCGCCGGGCCACGGCCGGTATGACGTAAGCAAGTCGGTGGCGATCGCCGGGCCACGGCCGGGCAATCGCCAGCAACTGGTGACGTCAGATCCGCGTCACAGGCCAGTCGCCGGCGACTCTTCTCGAGCAGCGGACGCCGCCATGACAGTTTTGTCCTTGGTGAGTGGTTTAGGTGATTTGTGATGCATTTTTTTCCTAAATTGGTTGGTGTGGCTACCTTAAATTTGTTGCACAGTAGCATAGGGATTATTATCTTGTAGTTTGCCTGTCGTGAAGCTGTTGTGACTTGATTTTAAGCTTGATTCGACAATATTGGAGGGTTTATGTCATTTGTGGCGCACTTGCCCATGATCACCCATGATTTTTATTTGTGATAAATATGTATTTTTTCATCAAAATTGAATATTTTAATGACATTGAAATTGACACTAGTTTCATAAGGTAATGAAAACTTGCTTGTTGTGTCACAAGAACATTGTTTACATTCAGTATCAGTTTCTTTGACAGGTTTACCAGACAGAAGTTTTATGGTAAGATACACCCCAGTATCCTCACCATCGTCCCAGAAACTTTCAGAGAAGCCTTCCCCTCTCACCCTTTTGAAGGCCCGTTTTGGCCCCATCTTCTAGATTTGCCCTACATCAACATGCAAACCCACCTTTCGCTCTTGTAGCTACACGTCAACCTTATTTGAACTCTTACCGCTTCCAACGAAATTAAAGCTCCAAACACTCTCGGAGTACTCTTAAAAAACCTTTGTAGCAATAAATATCGGTCTACGTCTTAAATCTTAAATCTTTAAATAGTCGTGACTGAAACCCGTCCTCTCCGCCACGTGGTGCGCCGGAA